AGAGAGAGAGAGAGAGAGAGAGAGAGAGAGAGAGAGAGAGAGAGAGACTGTGTGTGTGTGTGTGTGTGTATGTCATTTCCCACAAGTCTAAATAGAAAAGTACTTTTTTGTGTTTTTTATATTTTAGGGAATAAATCTATAATGCTTAAAAATGAAGTAAAAAAAGATAATAACTGCCCTTTAAGTGTCACTTTAAACATCTGATATCTTCTCAAGTAATTTTGGAAGTAAACAGAAAATAAATGTTATTTAAAATAAACTGAGATGTAGCTGTACAAACATTCCTTAAAGGTAAGCTTCATAAAAACAGACTTGGTTGAAGATTACAAGTCTGAGAAATATATCCACACACACCTACAATGATGACCAAAAGCACTGTGCAGAATTTTAAGTCACTTTAACTAGTTTATCAGTGGAAAAAAATGAGCTATAAAAGAATATTCATTCATACATAAAAAAGAAAGCAGCCTATGAATAGCATTCTAAAATGTTTCACCATGCTGTACCGCTCCACTACACAGTAAAAAGCGTACAAATCTACATGGAAAATACAGATAACCTTGCAGGGCATGGTAGCTCATGCTGTAATCCCAGCACTGTGGGATGTCAAGGCAGGAAGATCCCTTGAGCCCAAGCATTCGAGGCCGGCCTGGGCAACACAGTGAGCCCTCTTCTCTACAAAAAAAATGAACAACATTAGCCAGCTGTGGTTTTATGTGCCTGTAGTCCCAGCTACTTGAAAGGGTGAGGTGGAAGGATCACCTGAGCCCAGGAGATTGAGGCTGCAGTGAGTTGTGACTTGTACCACTGAACTACAGCCTAGGCAACAGAATAAACTCTATCTTAAAAAAAAAAAAAAAAATCTTTTTTAATGAAAATGCATGCATATGCGCTTTCTTACACATGCTTTCTGGATAAAACTTGTTATTAGGGTTGTCGACCATTCAGATATTCTCAGTGAGACATTTCATTAACAAAAGAGTGATTAAGAAACTATTATCTATCCTCAAACACAACAATTTTTTATTCATTTGTTTTCAAACATTAAAAGTAACACCATAAAAAAATTAACACTTTGGGATGCCAAAGCCGAAGGATGGCTTGAGCCCAGGAGTTTGAAACCATCTTGGGCAACAAAGTAAGACCTCATCTCTACAAAAAATAGAAAAAGGTAGACACATGTGGCATGTGGTGGTGTGAGCCTGTAATCTCAGCTGCTAGGGAGGATCCACAGAGCTGCAATGAGACGTGATTGCACCACTGTATTCCAGCCTAGGTGACAAAGCAAGACCTTGTCAAAGCAAAAACCAAACTAAAAAAAAAAAAAAAAAAAAAAAAAAGATCTAAATATTTTCTAAGTTTAAAGATTGTCATGACCTCTCTTGTAACAGACGCAGGGAAATTAAACGAGCCACAAGTCTTATAGCCCCTATATTGTGTTCTTCACTTCACTCACTATACATTTCCAACTGAAGCATTCTGCAAAACTGCTATATGCTTTCTGGAACAGAAAAACTACTTGGAATTATAACAACACACAGTAATTTTTTTTCATTTGAATTATTTAACTACAGTAACTTACTTCCAGAAGTTTAAAAAACAGCATTTTGTCTTTTTAAAAGTACACCAAATGGAAAACAAAAATATAAGTCGTATTCCTAAGGCCATCTTATCTATTTCTTGAAACAGAGCTTTGCTTGTTTTCATGTACTAATAAAATTCATTGACTATTGAAGCATTCCAAAAGCAAACCCAGAACCAATCTTCACTGAAAAGAATTACTTTTCCTACTTCTTGCAGTCTTAACACTGGTACTACTGTGTTAAATAGATTACATGATCTCAGATTCACAGCACACAGGTAATCACTTCAAAAGACTACAGTAAATCTCACTAGAAGATTCTGACAGCTTTAGTGATATAACCAGGATATAAGCCACACAACTTACTATTAAAATAAAACAATGAAGTTCAAGCTAAGCACAATCTCTAAATTTTCAGCCACGGCAAATTTTTTTTTAGTTTTATAAGAGCTTGGAAAAAATTCAAAAGGAAGGTCATACAACAGAGTCATATTTCTTACTTGATTCTTCAGTTATAAGTGAAAGTACCACATACCGATACTATACTATGATTTTAAATGATTTCATAAGAGACATTTGCCAGGCGCAGTGGCTCATGCCTGTTTCTCGGCACTCTGGGAGGCCGAGGCGGGTGGATTGCCTGAGGTCACGAGTTCAAGACCAGCCTGGCCAACATGGTAAAACCCTGTCTCTACTAAAAATACAAAAATCAGCCAGGCATGGTGGCAGGTGCCTGTAATCCCAGCTACTTGGGAGACTGAGGCAGGAAAATCACTTGAACCCGGGAGGTGGAGGTTACAGTGAGCTGAGATCACGCCACTGCACTCCAACCTAGCAGACAAGAGCAAGACTGAATCTTAAAAAAAGAAAAAAGTAAAGAAAGAGACATTCAATGTCAGTTGTAAAAAGCATTAAGATAATGGTCAAAGACAAAAACACCTTTCTTTTTTTTGAGATGGAGTTTTGCTCTTGCTGCCCAGGCTGGAGTGCAGTGGTGCAGTCTCAGCTCACTGCAACCTCCACCTCGCGGATTCAAGCGATTCTCCTGCCTCAGCATCCCAGGTAGATGGGATTACAGGCGCCTGTCACCACGTCCAGCTAATTTTTGTATTTTTAGTAGAGATGGGGTTTTGCCATGTTGGACAGGCTGGTCTCGAACTCCTGAACTCAGGTGATCCACCCACCTTGGCCGCCCAAAGTGCTGGGATTACAAGCATAAGCAACCATGCCCAGCCCAGAAACACCTTTCCTAGACAATTAAACTTTCACAGTCACTTGCTATAAAGAGCAGAACCAAATTTTCATTTGGTACAATAATCAGAGAAGAGTACGTTTTTCTGGCTCCCTAAATTGCTCAGAACCACATGTTCAGTGTCTTAGATGCTTTCTATAGATTTTCAAAGATAAGCCTATTTAACAATCAACAGAAAGACAGTAGGAAGAGTATAGGATTTGGTGGAAGGAGATAGAAGTGTGTTTCTCTATTGTCGATAATCACTTCACCATAAGCAAGTCACTTTGTCTCGCTGTACTTTATTTCTTCATCTACAAAATGAAAGACGTAATACCTGCTTACTACCTCTAAGGGCTATTGTGAAGTTCAGAAGAGATCACATCTGTGAAGTACTTCAGGTTACTGGTTCCCGAATTTTAGTAGCTAAATCTAAGAAATGTAAGAAATTCTTGAATCCAAATCACCTCATAAATTCAGATTCAAAAGGCCTCAACACAAATGCATATATTTTCATTTTCAATTAAGCACTTCAGGTCATTCCAATATATGACTGGAATGTATGATTGGAATGACCTGAAGTGCCTAATTGAATATGGGCTCCCAATGATGATCATACTTTGAAAAAACTGCAACAGTTTCTTCTAAAACTTTAGTGTTCGGGCTGGGAGCAATGGCTCATACTGGTAATCTCAGCTCTTTAAGATGCCAAAGCAGAAAGATCACTTTGAGGACAGGAGTTGAAGACCAGCTTGGGTAACATGGCAATACCCTGTTTCTACAGAGAAAAAAAAATACACACAAAAAAATTAGCAGGGCACGGTGGTATGCACCTGTTGTAGTCCTAGCTACTCAGGAAGCAGGAGGCATGGAGTTTGAGGCCACAGGCTATGGTAAGCTACAATCACACCAATGCACTACAGCCTGGGCAACCAAGTAAGACCCTGTCGCTAAAAAATTAATTACTTAATTAAAATAAATAAAATTTTAGTGTTCATAAGCATTAAATCTAGGTACATTCTAGCTGGGCGCAGTCACACACACCTATAGTCCCAGCTACTTGGGAGGCTAAGGGAGGAGAACTACTTGAGTCCAGGAGTTCTAAGTTGTAGTACTTTATGTCAATCAGGTGTCTGCATTAAGTTCAGCATCAATATGGTGACCTCTGGGGAGCAGGGGACGACTAGGTTGCCTAAGGAAGGGAGAACCGGCCCAGGTTGGAAACAGAACAGGTCCAAACTTCCATGCTAATCAGTAGCGGGACTGCACCTATGAATAGCCACTGCACTCCAATCTGGGCAAAATAGTGAGACCCTGTCTCTTAAAAAAATAATAAGAAAATGAAACATAATACAGATTTCTAAACCTAATCCTTAAAAATTCAGATACAGGCCTGGCACAGTGGCTCACACCTAGAATCCCAGCACTGGGAGGCTGAGGCGGGTGAATTACCTGAGGTCAGGAATTCGAGACCAGCATGGCCAACATGATGAAACATTGTCTCTACTAAAAATACAAAAATAGCCAGGTGTGGTGGCACATGCCTGTAATCTCAGCTACTTGGGAGGCTGAGGCAGAAAAAAAATCGCTTGAACCTGGGAGGTGGCGGTTGCAGAGAGCCAAGATCATGCAACTGTACTCTATCTAGCCTGGGAGAGGGAGCGAGACTCTGTCTCAAAAAAAGAAAAAAAAAATCAGATTAAATAAACTTGGATTGGAGCACACAATCTTCACTTACCATTATTCAGGAGATTCAGATGTAAATGATTTATAATACACCCTTTTAGAAATCCTACACTAGCTTCTTCCTCTTAAATATTTCTCAAATTGTTCCCAC